AGAAGGGGAGGGCTCCTGCTCACCTGCTCTCGGCGAGGAGGAAGGGCCCGGGGGTCTCTGGGGCTTGGGGGGCAGGGGGCGGGACTCGCAGGTGCAACCCAAAGAGCCCCTTGCGCTTCTTGATTTCCTTCCCGGAGATGAACCTGTGGGGCAGGGGAGGGAAGGGTTGGGGTTAGGCCACCATCGGGGCTGCAGCCCCAAATGCTGTGGGTGAGACACACACACCCCACGCCCCCATTCTGTCAGTGATTGACGGGTCACAGCGCAGTGAATGAGAACTAGATCCAGGCGCTCTCTGAGCCTGAACGGGGGGGGGCAGCTTTGTACCTGAGGGGTTGGAAGCCCACCACTCACTCTCCCTCACCCACCACCCTCCGGGCCCCCCTTCACCAAAAACAACCTTATTCTCTGCAATTCACCCCGCTTGGTTACTGAACCTCGCCCACAGGGCCCCCAAACTCCCCTAAATCGTTTTTCTTAACCCCCCCCCCCAAATTTATACCAGATCAAACAGGACCAGGTGCAGAAGTGGAGTAATTCGCACAAAGCAATTAAACGGGCTGCCCGTTTTGGGGGCTCAAATTGTAGAACAAAACCTCAGTGAAAACAAACGGGCTGAACATTCCCGCCCCCCAAAAGAGTAGCTCCCTCAGGATGCTGTGGGAACGGGGAGGGGGCGGCTTCGTCTGAGCTGGGAGGGTCAACCCTGTTGGGGAGCAACCGTCCCAGTCGGGAGGAGGACGGGATCAAACAGGGAATTAGCCTGGAGTCTACACCAGGGGTAGTCAACCTTGGCCCTTTTATGACTCGTGGACTTCAACTCCCAGAATTCCTGAGCCAGCTTAGCTGGCTCAGGAATTCTGGGAGTTGAAGTCCACGAGTCATAAAAGGGCCAAGGTTGACTACCCCTGGTCTACACAGACACAAGATCCGGGTTGCACGGAAGGCCTCTCTCTCTCTCTCTCTCTCTCTCCCGGGAGATTCTGCTGCTCTGGGAAGATTCCTGCGAAACAGGCACGGAGCAACAAAGTAGGACGGCTAAATTCCGGATGTTCGTGCCCGGCAGCCCCGAGCGAGGCCTACCTGTCCTTGTGGCCGGTCAGGGCACTCAGCAGCTGATTGTAGCGTTCCCCTTTGGGCGTCTCGGAGAGCTGCAGCAGGGGCCAAGGAGGACAAAGACAATAAGCCACAGCCCTGCTAAACCGCCGACGCGAAACACAGCCTTTCCCCCAAAAAACGGAGCCGTTGCGAGGCCAAAGGGTTGGGTTTAGCCAAGAGACCCTGTAAGATGATGCCCCCCAAAGCTGCCCTTCCCCCCCCCAGGGTGGACGCCTTGTGGGACCAACGGGAAGACCCCGGTCAACCTCAGCCGTGAAGGCAACGCTCATCCCTGACCTGGTTGAGGTCCCCAGGGTGGATATACGGCACGTATGGAATCTGTGCTTCCAAAGGAGTGGCCACTGGGGTCAAAGGTCACTGGGGACCAAAGGGGAGGCTTCTGCAAGCGGCCGTGCTTATACCACGAATGCCCACCGCCCAGCATGCTGTCAGTTGCCTCTGGCACCGCTCTATTTTCTCCCACAGGGAAAAAGGGCCCACGCCAGGGACGTAATTTGGGGCAGGGGTAGCTAGCAGCACCCATAAGCTTCTCAGCAACTCCCCCCCATTTAGCTCCTCGTATAACGCCCACGAGCACGCAGGAAGTCGCTGCCCCCGTTTCTTCAGAAGGGTCAGGAGCCAGGAAGTGATCTGCTGCGTGTCCACCCCAGCACGACGCAAACAGGAAGCGGAGGGATTCCCTCCTTTGTGCCCCCCCCCACGGGCCAGGCCTTGCTCTGACCTCTCCCAATAGAAGGCTGTCCCAGTTCTCGCTGGCGAACGGCAGGATCTCTCGCTCAAAATCAAAATATTTCTTCTTGCAGCAGATGCTGAGGTGGTAGAGGATCAGGTGGGCCACGTCCACCCTGCAAGGCGCAAACAGCGGCCTGAGAGACGCCCGCCGGGCCGGGGGCCGGGCCAAGCCCACAGCGGCACCAGCACCCCCAGCAAGGGGCTGAAGGGCTGGCGGGGCCGGCCTTTGCCCTCTGCGACCCCCCCCCAGAGGAAGCCATACCCCCCCCAGACTTAAAACTCCTCTGCAGGCCAAGAGCCCCACTGGGGTCAGGGCCCGGCCTCAGCCTGTCCGGCACCACGTGGCTCAATTTATCTCCCAAGGCCAGAGACCGATGTCCAGGTGGGGCACCCCCAAACTGGCTGCCTCCGCCAGGCCCCAAAGCCGGAACTAGCAGCCACCGGCCATTGTGAACATGGCGCCCTCTGCTGGCCGGGCAGAACAGCTGCCATCAGCCTGTGGCCCCGGAGCCCGAAAAACCGGGCCCGGCACAGACAACCTTTGATCGCAAACGAGGCCACCAAAAAGCTCAGCCAGAGAGGCAGCATCTGGGGAGCGTCTACATGAGCACAAACCCCAGAGCCCCCCAAAACCGCCCCCAGACAAGCCAAGGAACACCCCCCCCCGACCCAGGCCTCACCTTGGACCGAAGCAGAACAGACCTTAAAACCCTCTTGAGGGACTTTTGGGGACCCCTCCTCTTTTGCTGGGGGGTTTCAATGCCTCCCCCGGCCAAGTGGGAGCCCCACACGCTGCAGTGGGGCCAGGGGCTCCCCTGCCCTCACCTTAACCTCCCCCCCCCAGACTCACCAACGCAAGGGCAGGCGCTGAACGCTCTCGGGCCCTCCGGTGCAGACGCAGCATTCAAAGACGTAGAACCTGCCCGGGGTTCAAGAGGTCAGCGGTGCCTGTGGTTGCCCCCCCTCCCACTGCGCCCCATCCCCCCCCTGGAGCCTCTCGGGTCGGGGGGGTCTCACCTGTCCCCGTAGAGGAGGGGCTTGCTCAGACACTGGGTGCAGGCCTCGTGGAACCACTGCCCACAGGGGCTGCACTGCAGCATTTTCAGGTTCCACCTGGGCCGAAGAAAGAAGGGGGGGTCAGACTATGGCATGCGGGGGGGCTCACCTGCCCCCCAGCCCCCAGCCCAGGACGCTCCCCCATCCCCCTTCCGCTGGGCCTTACTGGGTCGCCCAGGCCCCCCCCTCCCCCTTCCAGGTAGAGCAGTTGTCCTGCCCCCGCTGCCCCCCCAAGCCGGGCACGCACTCACTCGCCGGGGCCCCCGCAGTAGCAGTAGCACTGCTGCCGGTTGGTGAGGTGCTCGGCGTCCCACTCGAGCGACTTCAGCTGGTAGGGCAGCACCAACTTCATGCCCAGCATGGCCTTGGCGTAGGGCCCCTTCTTCAGGGCCCCCCCGCGCTGCAGGGCGAGAGAGGAGAGCAGGGCAGATCTGGGGGGCAGGCGGGGGGAAGGGAGGGAGAAGAAGCGGGACCCCCGAGAGAGAGCAGGAGTACGTGGGGTGGCAGGCCAGGCCTCCCCTCTGTGCCAGGGAGGAGGGAGAACCCCCCCCCCCGAGGCTGGCCGGCAGGGCCAAGAGGAGCCGTTGCTTTGGGGGGGCCGAGAGGACCCGGCTGGACCCCCCACCTCACCTTGGTGGCCACGGCGAAGACGCACTGCCGGCAGGTCCAGGCGGCCTCGCTGAGCACGCGGGGCAGGTGGCATTCCTGGTGGTAGGCTGCAGGGGGGCATCACCGTGGTTAAAGGGGGGCCTGAAGGAGGCGCAGACCCCCCCCTTCCTCCCTCCCTCCCCCCGGGGGGGGACTCACCGTGGCTGCATTTCTCGCACCTGACCAGGCGGTTCTCCGGCCCGGAGGCCTCCGAGCGGCAGACGCAGCAGGCGGGCTCCTGCCCCGGGACGGCGGCTGCGGAGGGAAAGGGGTCAGCGGGCGCCGGGGAGGGGAAGTGGGGGGGGCACGCGGACCCTCGGCCTCCCAGCAGGGGGAGGGGCGCGGGCAGCCTTCCCTCCCCCCCTCCCCGGCCAGCGGAGGCAGCCCCTTCTCTTAAGCAGCACCAACCCGGGTTAATGTCCTTCCACAGGACCAGGAACTGCGAGTCGTCCTCGAACTGCACCAGGCACACCTGCCGGAGGGCGTCCACCTGCGGG